CTAGCAAAGAGCATGATGAAGAATGCACCAAAGAATGGTTGACCATTACAATAAATGAAAGAAAAGAAAAAGAAGAAACTAAAGAATGAAAACGTCAAGATGAAGAACGTAGGCGAAAAGAAGAAACTGAAGAACGAAAAGGTCAAGATGAAGAAGCGAAAAGCAGAATATGAGGAATGAAAACGAAAGCATGAAATGAAATTTGAACTTCAAAAATTATGTATTGAAGCAGAAAATAGATCTACAAATTATGGAACCAATTAAAATGCTAGTGGTACGCACATGAATCCAAAGTTACAGCTTCATCGTTTGATGCAAAAATTTAAACCTGATGAAAATGATATAAGTTTATATTTTATTATGTTTGACCATTTGGCCAAACAAGTTGAAATACCAGAAAATACTTGGGTTACTCATTTGCTTGGCTTGTTTCTGTATGATATTGCTCAGTTAATCCCCAGCGAAATGGATGAGACTGCAAACAATGATAGAGAAGTTAAAAAGCTTTTATTAAAACAGTACAAGATGACATCAAAAATATTTCACAAAGTAAGAGTTTAGAAAACACATGGAAGAATTTTGCATATGAGTTAAGAAGTTTTTTTTAATGACTGGATAAATGGAATTAAAGTAGTGATCTTATGGATGATGAGTGATCTTATGGATCAGATAATACGTAAAATGTCTCAAGTAAAAGATAATTTCATTGATGTCTAATCTGATTTGACCAACTGTTGAAAAAAACTAGATGTTAGTTGAAAAAAACTAGATGATTATGATACTTTGAAGTCAACTTTCAACAATAAACAACCGTGTAAAGAAGGGTCTTATGACAAACAAAACTCCTTTAAAGATGGTCCAGTTGCTTCAATCAACGAAAAGAAAAAACTCTAAGGTATCACACATAATGAAAAAGGTGAACCAAAATGCCTCAGTTGTAATAATTTTGGACACATTTCAAAGGGCTGTCCACTGCCAAAACTAGTAGTAATATGCCAAAAATGTAATAAAACAGGTCATAAAGCTAAAAATTGTGCTACTAAAGCTGAAAATAATTATTCAGATGATAAAAATTATTCTGTTGAGGAAGATGGCGAAAATTCAAAAGAGGGCAATTCATATTTGAAGAAAGCAAAACTCAATAATTCTGAAGAAATACAGGCTTTAATTGATACGGGGAATTCTTGTTGCCTCTAAAGGACTTCAGTTGCCCAGAAACTTAAACCCGAACCTGCTGTGAATGAATTGTATGGTTTTGGAAATGAAAAGGTATCCTTAATGACCTATATAGGAATGCCGATATTGAAGTTGATAATGTAAAAGGCCAAGGCGTAAATATTTACCTTGTTCCTGATAATGCATAGCCAGTTCCTCTAATTATCAGACGCACATGGCTTGATCTCTCTCACATTGCTTATAGAATAGGAAAAAGATTTCACTTCAGATATTGGGAAGATGAACTATTTAGTAACCTCCAGATTGATGAAAAGAGAAATTGAGTCTAGCTTAAAGCTCCTGAGGTATATGAATTAGAGAAAAATACGATCAGTCTTATCAGTTCTCAGACAAATTTTGTAGATAATGGATTAATTATGAGAGAAAATCCTTCCGAAGATGTTGGCCATTTATTAGAAATTAAAAATGGCAAAACTTGTATACCAATGATTAAGGTTGGCAAAAGAAGAATTAAGCTCCAAAAAGATCAATGCGGTGGGAGAGCAGAAGAAGTTGAATTATGTTTAAATACTGAAATTTCTGAATTGAGCTCAATCTAAGCAAAAAGGAAAAATATTAACAACACAAAAGTTCCTATAAATTTAAGCGAAGTTAAAAATTGGCTCAGACCTCAACGTTGATCACCAGCAAGAGTTACTGCATTTTCTGAATGAATACAGAGACTGCTTCACACTAAATATTTCAGAACTAGGGTGCACAGATCTCATAAAAATGGACATTAAGGAAATCGATGATTCAAAGCCTGTACGTATGAAGCCTTATAGAACAAATACCTCTGAAAGAGATGCGATCAAAGAATTTGTTCAAGAATGGATAGAAATTGGAGCAAACGCAATGCCCATATGCTAGTCCTGTCATATTAGTAAAGAAAAAGACCGGTGAATACAGATTAGTAGTACGCACATGAATCCAAAGTTAGAGCTTCATCGTTTGAGCTCTAACACATGGAAGATATCTCAATAGTCAAACCATAAAGGATAGATTTCCCCTGCCTAAAATAGATGATTTATTAGAACATTGCATGAGTGTATTCTGTTTACAATGCTAGATTTAGCACATGGATATTTACAGATTCCATTAACTGAAAGTGCAAAATTGAAAACTGCTTTCGTAACACCGGAGGAAAGTGGACAATTTAAAAGAATAATTTTTGGCTTGACTAACACTCCTGCGGAATTTCAACAATTGATGTAGCATGCATTATCCTCATCATGTAATAAAGAAGTATTGTGCTATCTTGATGATATACTTGTTCCAGCAAGGACGTGGGAAGAAATGATTCAGAAATTAATTAAAGTATTCGAAACACTACGTGCAGCTAAGCCTGAAGTTACCGAAATGCGAATTTGCCAAACAAGAAATAGAATATTTAGGTTTTATCATCAATAAAAACGAAATAAAGCTAGGATCAAGAAAAGTTGAAGTAATATCAAAATTCCCAGAACCTAAAAGCATTCATGAAGTTCGATGATTTCTACTGATGCATGCTCAGAAGGTACTAGGGTATGGCATGTTACTTCAACTCGGAATAAACGACAAATGGCAACTTATCTACTGCGTAAGAAGACAACAAAAGCTGAAAAGAATTATCATTCAAGTAAACTTGAGCTAATGGCAATTGTCTGGGCTGTAGACAAACTTCAACAATTCTTACTCAGTACTGAATTTACGGTAGTTACCGAATTCCATGCATTGGTTTACATGAATGCAAAGAAATCTAGCAATCCCCAAATTGCTCACTGGAGTATCCTTATTCAAGAGTAGAATTTTGAAATACGCCACAAACCAGGGGTTAAAATGTTTCATATCGATGCAATCAGTAGAACGCCTATTATTGATTCATCAGTCAAAATGCATTCTTCAATAGAAAATAATTTAGAAGTTTGTTTGACCATAAATTTAGATGAACAAATTCTTATGACACAGCATACAGATAAAAAGCTAAGAATTAATAACGATCTTGAAAAAGACCAAAGTGAAAGAACCTAAGAATAAAATCAAAATGTGGAGAATTATATTTTGAAAAGGAATAGACTGTTTCGTATTGTGGAGGATGGAGAAAAGAAGTTAATATATGTGTAAGGATTATGTTAATTTTATTAACAGTTAAATTTTAAGTTAAAGTTCCTTTCCTGTCAAATTCTTAACTTCAACTTACTACTTCCGGCCAGAACATAGTTCTGGAATCATTCTCAATAACTTAATGAGGAGGAGCGGTATTTAAACCACGAAGTTACTTCAGAACTTACGAACTGAGACAGAGAGAGAATCAGAGTTTCTGAACTACGCGCATCTGCCTTTTTGGCCGCTCTCTCTCTCAAAGCTGTTTTTACGCTCGGCCGTACTCAGGCCCTTGCTAAGCTTCGTAGTAAAATAAGTTAAGGGGCCAACTCTAATTGAACCTTGATAGTTTTGGCTATACTTATTTAGTTAATCTTAGCTTTACTTTAATTCTTAGTCTTTTAAGTTCAAGTCCAAAGTGCGGACTTTACTTGTACACTCCCAGGCGGAGTTTGTTAAATCTTATCGAAATAATAAAGGGTTAGTTAACCTTCTCTCTTGTTGTTTCTTGTCATTGAACTCTAGCGATTATTCGCTTATCAGTTCTTAGGTTCCTCACTTCCAACATTAACTTAGAATTCCAAAGTGAGGTACCTTATATATGTTGTACCTAAAAGCATGAGAAAAAGCATAGTTGTGAAGTTTCATGACCTAATGGAACATTTTGCTCTTGACAGGACTGTCTAAAAAATAAAAAACTGTACTGGTTTCCTACTACGAAGAGATATGTTCGTCGACATATATCAATGTGTTTCGAATGCCTCATCAACAAAGTTCCAAGTGGAAAAAGACAGGGTCTTTTACATCCTATTCCTCCAAGCCACAGACCTTTTGTAACAATACACACTGATCATCTTGGACCTTTCATTACAAGTTCTAAAAGAAACAAGGAATTGTTAATCGTCAATGATAATACGACCAGATTTGTTCGATTGCATGGTGTTAAAAACACATATTCTAAAAACGTACTGAAATCACTGCTGAGTTTCATAGAAGAACTTAGATTACCAGATCGTATAATATCAGATCGAGGTTCTTGTTTCACTTCAAATCAATTTCAAAACTTGGGCAAGAAAAAGGGATTTCTTCATACATTAAATTCAACCTCCCACCTACAAGGAAATTGTATGGTTGAAAAATCGAACAGAACAATTTTTTCAGCGATATCAACATCAATGAAAAGTAAAGATCAAAGGGATTGGAACAAAAGAATTAAAAAAGTTGAATTAAAGAAGTTATAAGTATGATTTATCTTTTAATAAATGTTTGCTTGTCTTTTAAAAACATCTTATGAAGGATTAATTTAAATACAAAAGGAAGCTGACACAAAAATGAAACAACTTGGCAATAAACCAAGGGGCAGCCTTAAATCTACTCTAGACCATCTAAAAGATACATTAAATATTTCTAACTTCCCTTTAGATGTCACTTTTTAATAACTCTGGAAAGATATGCACTGTTACATTTTGACTCGCCGATTTCTTGCTGCTACAGTTTTTATGTATATTAATTTTGCTTTGTAAAGCATACCAAGAAATACAGTTTCTCAGACTTTTCATAAATATAACATGAATAATATAATTGCATATATGCCATATAATAATATAATTCTAAATAAAGCAATATTAGATGAAAATTACATAAATGATGCATGAAAAGAAAGTAAATTGTTTTCACCTAATTAACTAAAAAAAGGAACTTACCATTTTCAAAAGTATCCTCTTCTTCAATTATTGAGACAAAGGCTGTTTCTGATAAATTCATTTCTAAGGCAATACTTTGTTTCATTTTACTTGAAATAGACTAGGACAAGAAAGGGGGACAATACTTAAACTTTCTGTTAATGTAAGCATTCACATATCCCATAATCATTCTATGAATCAAACATCATTATTTATGTCACTTAAAAAATAAATACATTGAGATATCACATATAATGAATATCAAGTTGTAAATGAATTGGCCATTAAACAAGGCAAGGTTTTACAGCTATGCAGCAAGTGCATGACAGATAGTGGTAGCAATCATTACGAGTAAACAGACATGCTTCAGAATAATGGCTGAACACATATGGCAGTGTTAACTATACAGCAAATTAAAAATTTGGGATATGAAAGCCTCATCCTCCACATATTTCCCCAACATATTACCATTTTTTTAGAACTTGTTATTATTTTTTACCTCAGAAATGCTCTGAGAACAACACATCAATTTATCGAGCAGTGGGAGATTTCACCACTTCCAGAAAAAAGTTGCATAAATGACCTATATTAGAAACCTAGTACTATTCAGCAAGATGCCACGTAGATAATACAGTTGAATCTCGGATTATGAACAATTTGGTTCATGAATTTGGCCTTGGATGCTGAATGGTATCTCCAGGTGTGAACATAAAAGTCGACAATGTATTATTTTTAAAGATATTTTAAGGTAATCTATGTCATATAATTAACACTCAGAGCCTTCTGGAAACATCAGTTTAATATTTTTCATTTTTAACTCTCAGTAAACAATTAGGAAGTAACTCTCAGATAGGAAGTTACCAGGGCTGTGGAGTCGGTAGGGAAAATAACGACTCCGACTCCTGAAATTTTAATGATTCCGACTCTGACCTCCTCATATATATGGATACACATGGGTTACAGCTCATGGGTACAGCACATGGGTACCCATGAGTACATGCACACACTCATACACATGGGTTACAGCTTATTTTTTTAATATAAAAGAAGTAATAGATGTTACAGAAAAAAAAAAATTGATGGCACAGCAAATTATTTATATTAGTTAGCATTTATTACGAAATGGAAAAACTGGCATTAGTTATTTCTAAGAAAAGTATGGCTTTGGCAAGATTTTCTTTGTTGAAGGGCCATAGATCTGATTTGATAAACTTCAGAGCTGAAAAGAGTCTTTCCACATAAACTTGAGTAGGAAGAAGAGCTACTACTGTTAGGGCTACTTTTTTTAACTTTTGATGATAGATTTTTATAAACATAAGTTCACTTAAGTTCTAAAAGAGGTGTCTTGCAAGCGCAATCATATTTCTCTATTTCTTCTAAGGCCATGTAGAAATCTTATTTGTATTTTTTCAGTATTACATCTAAAGGCTCTTGGTTCTTTATTTTCATTTGCTTTGCCTTAGCCTTTTCAATATTATCCAAAAATATTTTTCAAAATCTAATTCATCACTGGAAGAGGATGATAGAGACTCAATTGCAGTGTCTGCAGTTTGACTGTCCCGATTCGAATTCTCCAACTGTTCTGAGAATAATTTCATTCTTAATGAAAGTTCATAGATGACTTTCTTTGCCTTTTTAATTTGTTCGTCATCCAAGAAAATTCGGTGTTTCGGATCTCCATATATTGAACCCAGCAAGATCTCATTGTCTAGCAAATTATTTTCTCTTTTCTTCATTAAAGAAATATTCCTTCTGCAATAAACCCTCCATTTCAGAAAGAGCAAACATCCCATTCTTCCATTCCTGCCTCTTGTCCATTCTTCAGATTGCAGCTATTTTGTGGTTATATATGGTATAGAAAGAAGAGTTTTCAATTCTGCAAGACCATTCCACAGTCTTTCTAATAGTGAAACATTATGGTTATCTACATCTCCTAAAAAAAGTTCTTAATTCTAAAAATCTCTTTATCATCAAATATGTACTTCCTTATCGCGTTGCTTGATCAATAATTGCTTCTTTTCCTGCTCGCTTCCTAAGAATGGCATCAATTTTAGGAGTTCTTGTTGCTATTGCTGCTTACCTAAATTTACCAGTGAGATTTGTAACTAAAGGACTCAGTTTAATCACTAATGGCAAATATCACATCCATCTTCCTCCCTTATATTTATTTATTAATATGGCAATAAAATAGAAAATAACTATCTATTAATGTATACAGTCCATAAATAAAAATAACTCAGCTTGTCATATAATTTTTTATATATTAAACTTGTCTTTATAATTTTTTTCAATAATTTCATTCCGAATTCAAACTGTCCAACAAATACTAAAGTCGACCTGATTTTTCCGACTCCTTTTACCCCAAAATCTGCCCGACTCCGACTCCACAGCCCTGGAAGTTACATTGCTTATTTTGTGCTGTACACCGTAAAATGGCTGTATGTGATTAATGTAAAGTTTGTATATGATTTGGAACGAAAGGGAAAACGAGCATTAACTGACAGGTGTGTAAATCAAGGTTTACTTAGTAGTCATTATATATGTTCTCTTTGTATGAGGAAATGCGTATGGTCGAACATAAAGATCGTTCCGATGGATTCGTCGCAAGAAAGGTTCCTGCAGAAATGCCACTAATAGTCTGGCACCGCGGAGGATATTTTTTTACACTTATTTTTGTGAATTTATGTGGTGTTACCAGTATACAAATTCTAGTTCAGATAATTTTAGGAAGTTTTTGGATGCTGCCACGGAATTTTGTTTGACTGAAATTTGTAAATAAGGTAAGTGGATATTTCCTTTGTGTAGTTCGTAAGATGAATTCCTTTTTTTATGTTATTTTATTGTTTGATTTAAAATGTAGTTTATTGAGATTATATATATTTTTATTAGCTGCTTCTTTGACTTTTTAAGTGAATATAAAGTGATGTGTACATGGACAAAGTCAAGGGAGTGTGTAGTGCATGATTCGTGCAGTTCTCTGATGGTTTTTTGAGTGAAAATAGGTATATGTATACATGGATACCAAGTTTGTGCAATTATTTGACTTTATGTAGCCGTGATTTTTGCGACAAAAACTGGCACTACACAAAGCCAAAATAACAAGTCAAAGAACTACACAAACTCGATGTCCACATACCACAAAAAATCACCAATTAGTACCCAGTTCGTAACAATATATATACATGGATATGTGTGACTGTGCAAGGTAAAAAAACATGAAAGCAAACTAGTAATTTTAATTTGCAATAGCCCCTTTATTCTTCATTTTAATTTGGGTTCTTCCCCTTTCCATCATTTAATGTAGCTGATTTGGAATTTTAACTCAAAATTTCCAGAACTGAAACCTTTCTCTTAATAAGCTTCCATATTGGATAATTTACACGCTTGCTTTCTTCACCTCAGCAATAGATTATCTTCTTACCACAAAACTATAAAAAATGTAAATGTTTTGAAACAGGTATGAAACAGGCAAGTGAATTGTGGCCACAAATGTTAACTGAAGTAAAAATAAATATTTAATCTGTACTGGCTACCAGTTGCTGCTAATTATGGATAGACATCTTTGGAATTGATATTTCTACTTATTATATATTACTATTATACACATATATTAAAAATATTGTGTTGCATAGATATTGAATGAATTGCTAATTGGTAAAAGTTTATAATTGGGTGCACCTTGTTTTTTGGGCGATTCTTTTTTGACGGCAAGATTGGCACCAGGAAGGCAAAATTTTAAGATGGCTGCTACAAAAAAACAAAACAAAAAGTCAAAGAATTGCATAAATTCGGTGTCCATGTACATGTCAATCTATTTTTCACTTTAAAAAACATTAGAGAATTGCAAAAACTAGGCATTGAGCTCTGCCTTATTTTTCTCCATGTACACATTGATCTAGTTTCACTTAAAAAAAAAAAAAAAAAAAAAAAAAAAAAAAAAATCAGGAAGCTAAAACAGTTAAAAATATTATGGTAACCAGAAAAGGGGTTTCATTGCCAAAATGTGTCTCCAATCGAAGGGGCACCCACTTCTATACAAGTGCCTGCTAATTTATTGTTCAGTATAGTCAATTTTGTTTTTGTGGATGTTTACAACATTTGGCTGCAAATCACATTTTCTTAACCCCCTGACATATAAATAAAATACGTGTTTGAAGAATACCATTCAATTTGGACACTCACGTGCAAACTTAGATCGTTTAGTTTTCAAATTTACATGCTACATAACAACAATAATATACTGCACGACGTCTGCCGAAGACAGCTCTTAACGTCTCGGAGATGTCAAAGTCAAATTTCTTCTCAATAAACAAAGAAAGGTAAAAATAAAGCCTCCTAAAGAGAGTTACCTAATGTTTTTATGAATCGGAATTTTCCATCCAAACAATTACATCTTCGTCATCATCTTCTACTTAATGACACTGTCTCTTCCTTTCACCGGCACAGTAAAATTAAATTAAAGTTATGTCTATTTTATCTCTTTAATAAGTTTTTATCTTTCTTGCTTTAATGACTTCCATTGGTTTTGGTATATTAGGCACAAAGTACTGCTGCAAAGGTTAAAAAAACAATCATTTAAAGTTCAGGAATGAATTATTTAAATTTTAATTAATTCTCACGGGAAAAACTATTTTGGTTAGCAAGCAATTTTGGTTGATACATGGCCTTCAGGAACATATTAAATTTGTGCACCGAGGCTTGATTCGATTTGTCATTTCTGCTGCCCAATAGCCCTTACATGTTCTATGAGCATCATGACAACAGAAATTCATAGAAACAGAATTGTCTTATATTACTTTGTTCAATTTCAAATTGTTTAACATTATTATGTATATACGTAATAAAAAAATTAAATTGCTGATTATTAGAAAAGTATGTCACACCATCATCACTTCAAATTGTATTTAAAAAACTAAAAATTTATTTGTTACAATGTAAGAATATTTAAAGTGCCAAAGAGCTGTGAATTTCCTATGCCCAGTATAAACTGTGAAAATGCATAAGCAATAAAAAGGCCACACTCAGTCCTATAAATCAGGGAAACTTTATGAATATTGACATTAATTTTTTTAAATAAGTTTAACAAAAGCAGTCAAAGATTGCTTTCAATTTTCTGTTTCA